TTAGAAAACATCTGGATTCTTTTCTTTAAAAATGTCAGTGTCACCAACAACAAGGAAAAGTTATGGAACTGTTCTAGATTAAAAGAGATTACAAATGTAACAAATAAATGTTGCACATAATCCTGAACTTGATCCTGGTCCCAGGAGGAAAACTTGCTATAAAGAACATTTTTGGGACAAATGGTTAAATTGTAACATGAACTATAGATTCAAGTCTGTTTGTATTGTATCAATATTATGTCAATATTAAATTATCTGACTGTGATAATTATACTGTGGTTAAGTAAGAGAAAAGCCTTGTTCTTAGGAAATGTGCTCGTAACGATTTAAGGGTAAAGGGGCAAGACATATGCAATTTACTCTCAAATGGTTCAGAAAAATATTATGAATATATATATATATATATTATGGGGAGAGTAATAAAGCAAATATGGGAAAACGTTGAACTCTGATGGAGCTGGGTGAGGAATAGACAGGAATTCTTTCATACTACTGCAACTTTTCTGTATGATTGAAATTACTTCAGAATAAAGTAAATCCATGAATCCGAGTGTAAGAACAGGCCATTTCTTTTATACCTATATTCACCTGGAATCACCAATTAAAAGGTAGAAATAGTTGCAAAACAATATTTAAGCTAAAAGAAAAAGTGGCCCAGCTGGTGTGGCTCACTGATTGAGCATCCACCTATGAACCAGGAGGTCACGGCTCGATTCCCAACCAGGGCACATGCCCGGGCTGTGTGCTCGATCCCCAATGTGGGGCGTGCAGGAGGCAGCCGATCAATGATTCTCTCTCACCACTGATTTTTTTAAAATCTTTCTCCCTTTCTCTCTGAAATCATTAAAAATACACATATTTTTAAAAAAGTAAACAACGTCATTAAAACTCATCAGATAATAGGAGGCACTAAACCGAACAAAGGTTTCTTCTTTTAAGATCCTGTGCTCCTAAGCAGAAGGTTCTCCCAGTGTGAGACAACAGATATGAAAGATACTCTTGAGGATAAACTTACTTCGCCAGGTTTTATGGATGGGCACAGCCATTTCTTCAGCAACATGTCCCACACTTTTTCCAGATTAATTTCATTGACTTCGGCTATTTCTTTAGCTGCTGCGTGAATATCGATGAGAGAGAAACATCGATCAGCTGCCTCCTGCACATCTCCCACTGGGGATGTGCCCGCCACCCAGGTACATGCCCCTGACCGCAATCGAACCCGGGACCTTTTAGTCCGCAGACCGACGCTCTATCCACTGAGCCAAACCGGTTCGGCCGAGCACAATTTAAATAAAAAAGAAAGAGGAGCCTTCAATTTTAGTGTTCAGACACACCTTCGGTGGGATATTCTGTAGCCATTTCTTGGTTAAATACAGGCAGAATTTCAAAGTGGACATCTTGAAGGAACCTGAAAAGATAAAGAAGAGAGCAGATCTTAATCCTTTCAAAACAATGTAGTTTAGTCAAATTAGCAAGGTGGGTTTTTTTTAAAATATATTTTATTGATTTTTTACAGAGAGGAAGGGAGAGAGATAGAGAGCTAGAAACATCGATGAGAGAGAAACACCGATCAGCTGCCTCCTGCACATCCCCCACTGGGGAAGTGCCCGCAACCCAGGTACATGCCCTTGACCGGAATCGAACCCGGGGCCTTTTAGTCCGCAGGCTGACACTCTATCCACTGAGCCAAACCGGTTTCGGCAAGGTGTTTTTTTTTTAGTTACAAAAATGCATGCTCACAGTTAAGAACAACCTAAACAGGACAGAAAAGTACCAACTAGGAAGCAAACCCAGAGGCCCCTTCTTTAGCTTCCATTTCTATTTCTGAGCAATATGTTCCTCCCAAGTCTCCTGTGTGGGCGCACACACATTTTAACCCAAAAGGGATAAGATCATACACATAGTACAATTTGCTGTTCTCACTCAATGTACATCTTGGCCCTTTGCGACAGCATGGATGGATCTGGAGTGCATTATGCTAAGTGAAATAAGCCAGTCAGAGAAAGACAAGCGCCACACGATCTCACTCATTTCTGGAATCTAATGAACAAAATAAACTAACATGCAAAATAGGGAGACTCACAGACAGGGACCAGGCTGACAACTGTTTGGGGGGGGGGAGGGGCGTGGGATTGGGGGACCGAGGGATTGAGTAAAAACTTTAAAAAAAGAAAAACTTATGGGCACAGACAACAGTGTGGTGATTGTTCGAGGGGGGGGGGCTTGGGAGAGGTGGAGACGAGTATGGGAGGGATGAATGGAAAGAGAGTTGACTTGGGGTGAACAATACAGTGTACAGATGATGTGATGTGGAATTGTGCACATGAAATCTGTATAATTTTGTTATCCAGTGTCACCCCAATAAATTCAATAAAAAGGAAAAAATATATGTATACATATATAACATTTGGACATCTTTCCAAATCAACTACATAGCATTCCATTCTATGAATATGCTCTATTTTTAAAACCACTTTCTGACCAATTAACATTTTAAAAAAATAGTTTCTTTCAACTTCTGTTACAACAAAAACCATGGGAATGAGTACCTGTGTTTGTGTACCTGTTTGATTAGGTGAGACTATCTAAGGACTCATTGTTGGAAGTATGACTGGATAGTGGGAAGTTAAGTATCAATTCATATTCCCACCGTCGAGGTGGAGCCTGTATCCACACGCGCTGAGCAAGCAGCAAGGAGCCTTACTTCTCCGACTGAGGCCATTTTAACATCCAGCAGTAAAACAAGTGAAGAGAGAGGGCACAAACTTTTTTGAATTATCATATTGCTTCTCCTCAAAGCTATAAACGTAGTTTTTTGTTTTTTTAAAATATATTTTATTGATATTTCATAGAGAGGAAGGGAAAGGGATAGAGAGCTAGAAACATCAGTGAGAGAGAAACATCGATCAGCTGCCTCCTGCACACCCCCTACTGGGGATGTGCCCACAACCAAGGCACATGCCCTTGACCAGAATCGAACCCGGGACCCTTGAGTCTGCAGGCCAATGCTCTATCCACTGAGCCAAACCGGCCAGGGCTGGGTTTTTTTGTTTTTGTTTTTTTTTTTTTACTAAAAGTTCACAAAGCAACACAGCTGGCCATTCTAAGGGCAGTTAAAGGAAGAACCCCTACCTTCTGGGATATCCTGGGCAAGACTGAAGGCAATAGCTACCGCCCACTCCGGGTTGACTATCGACAGTAAGTAGGATTCGATGGTCTGAGCAATCTTGGTTATTTCCTTGTTCATCAATGTTGAGGACTTCGCTTGTGGTGACTTCACTAGTTTTGGCTTCAGTTTTTTTTCAAAGACATGCTTGGCGACAGACACATACAGAGTGTCCAAAGAAAACTTCAAAGAAGAAAAAAAGAAAAGTTAAGGCTGGTTGATGGGTGACAGAAAGCAGCACAAAGTCCTCTCCGCAGGCTCCGACTAACGAAAGGGTAAGGAAACGCCTTACAGCGCTGGCACCTGTTACCTTCATCAGCTTGGAAATGAGCAGCAGTGTCGGGAAGGACTCCTCACTGAGCTCCGTAGCTGGAAAGGAAACAAGGACGGTGGGATTGGCTTAAGAAGAAAGTGTTGGCTACTCAGTGAAATTCGTAAGAAGTTAAAGGACATACAGAGGATTTTCCAGAAGTTCTGTGCTGTGCCAAAAAGCAGTAGGTGAAAAGGCAGTCTGGTTTGGGCGGCCGATGGCAATGTTATCACATGCTCCAACATATACTGATACTCGAGGTCCACCGGGGGGGAAATTCTCCTGTAGGACTTCAGGTGCTTTAGGAGACTCAAGGCCTGTATCACAAGAGAAAGCATTTTCCTCTGAGATTAAATTAACCCTAAGTGTTTTAAAATCATCTACCTCTTGACTGGCCAGTGTAGCTCAGTGGTTGAGCGTCAACCTATGTATGAACTAGGAGGTCCTGGTTTCATTGTAGGCTTGGTCCCAGTGAGGGGCATGCAGGAGGCAGCTGATCAATGATTCTCTCTCATCACTGATGTTTTCCTCTCTCTCTCTCCCCCCCCCTCCCTTCCTTCCCTCT